GCCTTCGACCGCCGAGGCCCCCGCCGCCCTTCTGGACTTTTATCGAGGCCTGTACATTAATACGAAAGAGAATTTGCCATTTACCTGTAAGATTGAGGGCGACAGCGTAAGAGGAATGGTTTTAAGTGACGCGTCCGGCTTCTCACTCCCACTGAAGGGTGAAGGTGCCACAGGTGGGCCTGGTTTGGATTCTGATGTGAAGAAACCGACTTCAAAACACTTGGGCCAATCAGGAAAATACCAAAACTCTGACTACATATTTAATGATATCTAGGAATTATTGTTAATAGTTTAAGGTATGGTACATTATCACAACCAAGATTTGACATAGCTACATCAAGATACAGGATATTAACAAGGATTACTGTTTTCAGCCAATGTTTCTTCAAGTATTTTTTTTTAGTCCTGCCTGTGTCTCTCGTCCTGGGATTCTGATGATATGAATATTATTATAGCCCCGACAGCCCTTAAGCCTCTGTTCTTTCCTCCACCCCCAGTCTATTTTCTCATTTTTTCAGATTTGGTAATTTTTATTGTTCTATCTTCCAGCTCACTGATTCTTTCCTCCATCTTCTCCATTCTACTGTTGAGCTTACCTGCTGAGCTTTTTATTTTGGCTATTGTAATTTTCAGGTCTACAATTTTCATTTGGCTCTTTATATGTCCTGTTTGCTCAGGATTTTTATTTTTTCATTTGCTTCAAGTGTATTCATATTTGCTCATTGAAGCATTTTTCTCATAGCAACCTTAAAAGTCTTTTTGGGCTTATTCTAACATCTTTGTCATCTCAGTGTTGGTCTCTATTGATTGTCTTTTTCATTCAATTAAATATCTTTCTGGTTCTTGGTATGACTATTTTTTATTGAAGTCTGAACATTTTCAGTTTATATTATGAGACTCTGGATTTTAAACTTTGTTTTAGTTGGCTTTCTCCAACACCAATCGAATAGGGTTAATGAGGTTACCACCTCATTACCGCCAGGTGGAGATAGGAATCCAGGTGCCCCAGTTAGCATTCATTGATACTTGAGGGGCCAAAATTCCTCGTTTACTGCTGTGTAGACCATGATTTAGAGATTCTAGTCAGGCTAACTGAGGGACCATTCAGCAAATTAGTTCCTTATATGGTATAATCTTGTCGAGAAAAGGAGCTGAATCTATCTCATCTTTACATCTTTCTCATAACATGGGACCATCTATGACTGACCCAAATAGCAGGCAAACAGAAAATTCCTGTTGAGTAGACATACGCAGAAAAGTATAATACACTGATGGCTTAAACTACATTAAGTATAAACAAAAGGTGATTCAAAATAGGATTTTTAATTTCTACCTAGCTTCTTCCTTACTTCATTTGAAAATAAAAGTTTCCCTGATTTACTGAATCAAATTATTTCAATCTCATATGATTTAAAAGCTTACCTGAGCATTTGTCTCTTTACTTGATATTCCCTGGCAATGTCACCTTTTTTACATGGTGGAAATAACTGTTAAGGATTTGAAAGATTCTCCTTTCAATAGGTAGTGCTTCACTGAGTCTTCACCTAGGCTCTTGCTGCAGGCTCTGAGTCTCTTTCTACATACCACAACCAAGTTAGTTAATCTCATAGTATTAAAATCTTTTGTCACTGTTTCTCCTACTAACTTTAAGACAGAGGGCCTATGTTGGCTCATCCTTATATCCCCAGAACCGGGCAGGGCACCTGAGAAAAACAGGCACTTAGATACTTACTAAGTGAATGATGAATAAATGAATGAATGAAACATAATCCCGACATCTACACAAAATGAAATTTCAATGCCAACATATTAAAAAAACATTTAAGAGACTGAAGACTTGTCTACCAGGAGAGCATCAAACCTTTTGAAGCTTTGCAGTTGGCCTCTGGTTGCCATTTTGGCATGGCTAGTGTTTTTAGTCATTTATAACTTAACAGAGAAAAGCATTTCTATCCAAAGAGTCTCTTTAAATCAAAAAGTCTAGGCCAATCATGGTGGCTCATGCATGTAATCCCAGCCCTTTGGGAGGCCAAGGTAGGAGGATTGCTTGAGACCAGGTGTTCAAGACCAGCCTGGGCAACACAATGGGACCTTGTCTCTACAGAATGTTTAAAAATTAGTTGGGCATGGTGGCGGGCACCTGTAGTGCCAGCTACTCAGAAAGCTGAGGAGGGAGGATTGTTTGAGTCTGGGTTGAGGCTGAGGTGAGCCGTGCTTGTATTACTCCACTCCAGCTGGGAGACAGAACAAGACCTTGTCTCAGAAAACAAAACAAAAGTCCCAATGTTTGTGAGGTGTACATGTTAATCTTAACCATAAGAACAAACTTGCACCTAGATTTTTATTTTAAAAGTGTGAAATAGATTTAGGCTGCCTTTTATAAAGACAACTTAAGAGAATTTCTAAACTTACTCACTTGAACAGAGGAATGGCTATGGAGAAGGCATTAATGACTGATTCATGGAACAGAATTGATTTACCGAAACTTTTCTCCTTCTATATAAAGTCAAGGTGAAGTAACAATATCCCTTTAATGCTGGTGTGATTTCTAGAAGTCTGTTTTGACTGATGAGGTAATATAAAAGGGAAAGAATGCCAAAAACTATAGAGTATTATAAAATCCTTCAGGGTCTCCCCATAAATTCCAAACCCTTTAGCATGACGTGTAAGATTCCTGTCTCCCTTTTCGGGCTCAGCTTTCTTCAGTGATTCCTGGACTCCTTGCTCCACATGGTGGACTAGAAATGCCTGCGTGGTCCCATCTCTCTGGCAAATCCCTGATTCCACTCACAGAGGTAGACTTTTGTTTGTTTGCTTTTGAGACGGAGTCTCTTGCTCTATGCCCAGGCTGGAGTGCAGTGGTGCAGTCTTGGCTCACTGCAACCTCCCCCTCCTGGGTTCAAGCGATTCTCCCGCCTCAGCTTTTCTGAGTAGCTGGGATTACAGGTGCCCCCCTACCATGCCCAGCTAATTTTTGTACTTTTAGTAGAGATGGGGTTTCACCATTTTGGTCAGGCTGGTCTTGAACTTCTAACCTCAGGTGATCCACCCGCCTCGGCCTCCCGAAGTGCTGGGATTACAGGCGTAAGCCACTTCACCTGGCTCGATGGAGCACCTTCCTGTTCTTCTCTGTGACTAATTGGTCAAGGAGTGCACACCTGACCCAAGTCTAGGATCAGATTCTCCTGGCTTGCTTCTAGGATTACAGACTTCTAACCAAAACAGAGACTTGGAAAGGTGTGTGAGTCACGTTCATGACAACAGCCTAGAAGGGTCTGAGATGACTGCTGCTCAGGGGCCAGTGCTATCAAGGTTCCTGCCCTTCCTGTGGAATTCAGTTTTTTCTCAGGGTTCTGTAAGATGCTTTGGCACTCTTCCAACGAATTCTTTTTTTTTTCTTTTTCTTTTTAATCCCAGCCACTAGACCACCAGGGACCAATGGATTCCATTTGTGCTTATGTTAGCTCTGGTTAGCTTGTTACTTACAACACAAATGATCTCAAATAATACAGAAATAGTACAAGGCTTCAGAGGAAATGTGAGGTATTTGGAATTGGTATTCATGTCAAAGTGCAGGGAAAGGAAAGGCGTCTTCTCTTCACCATGTGGAATGAGCAACTATATTTGTGATACTATATCTGGGATTTGCTTCAAAGTCATCCAGTTAGAGTTGAGAAGTAGGTATGCATATACACAAAGCAAGACTGGCCATGAGGTAATCAGTATTGAAGCTGGATGTCAGATACATAAGGATTCATTATACAATTATCACTATTTTTTCTATACTTCTCTGAAATTGTTGATAGTATAAAGTTTTTAAAAATCTAGTTTTCAGCCAGGTGTAGTGGCTCACGCTTGTAATCCCAGCACTTTGGGAGGCTGAGGCGGGTAGATCGCCTGAGCCTAGGAGTTCAAGATCAGCCTGGGCAACATGGTGAAACCTCTTCTCTACAAAAAATAAGCCAAGCATGATGGTCTGCACCTGTAGTCCCAGCTACTCGGGAGGCTGAAAGGCTGAGAATTGCTTGAGCCTGGGAGGTCCACGCTGCAGTGAGCCATGATCATGCCACTGCACTCCAGCCTGGGCAACAGAACGAGACCCTGTTTCAAAAAGAAAGAAAGAAAGAAAATCTAGTTTCACTTAGAACCATATGTTGTTTGGGGGTGAGACATTGGGAGACTAGATAACTGTCATGGTAGAATAAAGAGGATGAGGAATATGGAATGAGAGAAAAATGGATAATTTAAAGCAAGACAATATGAAACTCAGATGCCAGAATGTGAAAGGCATTAAAATATAGGGCCACCATTTTTAATACATCTTATTCCATCTGTGACCCTCAAGTTCATAAATTGATCCTGTAGGTTGCTGAATTGCAACTCCAGTTGGATTAACATTGCTGCCAGTCTTTTATACAAAATCTAGGGCATTGACTAGGAAAGAGGGGGATCTTGGAATTATATGTATGTGGGGAACAGACAGAACTGAAGAAATCAGACTCCCCCAAGTCTTTTAAAAAGGTTACTGTGGTGTCCCTTTGCCTACGGAAAACAGAATTCCACTCCTATGCTCTGTGTCCTACTGTGTCTTCCTGTGACAAAGATTCAAATTCAACAAAAGCCAGAAGGCGATGTTTAGAATCAGCAAGCAAGTAATTATACCCTACATTAATTTTTTTTTTTTTTTTTTGAGATGGAGTCTTGCCCTGTCACCCAAGCTGGAGTGCAGTGGCGCAATCTCGGCTCACAACAGCCTCCACCTCCAGGGTTCAAGCAATTCTCATGCCTCAGCCTCCCAAGTAGCTGGGATTACAGGTGTGTGCCATCACACCTGGCAAATTTTCGTATTTTTAGTGGAGACAGGGTTTTGCCATGTTGGCCAGGTTGGTCTTGAACTCCTGACCTCAAGTCAGGTGTTCGGATGGAGGCCGAGGCGGGTGGATCACTTGAGCCCAGGAATTCAAGATCAGCCTGGGCAACATGCCTCAGCCTCCCCAAAGTGCTGGGATTATGGGTGTGAGTCACCTCACCTCGCCAACCCCAAATGAATTTTAAAATTTTCTAATGTTGAAAAAACCTCAGGAGGATATGTGGCTGTGGCCATGAAGGGTGCATGACCAAAGGGAGCATACCTTAATTTAGGAACAAACCAAATAAACAAAGATAGACACTTAGTAAGGGAGCTGTAATTCTTTTTATTGGTTCATTCAGCAATATTTCTTAACTTCGGGGGAAAATACATGGTATTGCCATTTCTTAATTATCACAGACACTGAACTCAAAAATTAAAGGAAGTTTGTGGCAGATGCTTTTTTCTAGAGACAGGACAATTCTTGAGTGCCTTCCTTGGCCTTCACCCTGATTCCTGCGAGCAGATGACTTCCTCTGAAGCAGCCTGATTTTGCATATCCTTTCACCAATCAAGGATCAGAGTGTGTGCTCCTTGGTTGCTGAAACCTTTTGAAGGTGACAAAACGGAAGAGTTGAGTGTGGTATGGGGATGAGGGGCTTGCAAGAGCAGAAAGTGTTCCCCAGCTAAGCTGGGCTGATCCCCCTGAAGCCTGTCCTGCCAGAGCCCAGTGACTCATCTCTCAGGCAGGGTCTCCACCTAGGCCTCCTGCCTCAGCCTTTCCTCACACTGTCTGGAGTCAGAAGCACTGAGATTCAGGGATGTGGTCACATAGATGGGCAGATCACTGATGTGTGACGTGATGTGAGGGAACTCCGGTGGTCTCAACTTTCAGATGTCAACATGTTTGGAGTACTAATTTCCACTTGGATTATTGTGATTCAGAAAATACTAGGTTCCTTTCTTTCCTTTTCTCTTCAAACCTCTAAAAAATCTCTATTCTATGCCTATCAGCTGATGATCTCACTTCACTGAGAAAATGAGTAAATAGAAGGAAACAATACTCTTTTGCAAAATCCACTGAGCTAGTTTGACCTACGTCCATGTACTCGGCCTTCCGTCTTCATACAATGGATAGAGTGTCCTGTCCACCTGAGTCCAGGGTGCTACCTCCTCACCTGTGGACGGACTCTGCCCTTCTATTCTGCTGCCTGTCGCTCCAGCATCATCAAATCTCCCTCTCTATGGGAGCATTCCCATCAGGAAACATACATGTTATCATATCAATATCGCTGATGAAAACATTCCCTTGCCTTACCTTCTCCAGCCACTTTATAACAAAACCCCACAAAAGCATTGCTTATTCTGTCTCCACATCCTCACCCCAATTCTCTCCTGAACCCACTCTAATCAGCTTTCATTTCAGCTGCTCCACTTAACCTCTCTGATGAAAATCAGCAGTTACACCTATATCTCCCAGTCCTCATTTTACCTCCCTCTCAGCAGCATTGCCATGTGGCTGAGCGTGCCCTCTTTTCTGAAACTCTTTCTCTACTGGCCTCTGCAACAGCACACACTTCTGCTTTGCTTCCTTTCATACCAGCCTCTCACTCCACGCATGTTCCTTCACCAGCTCTGCCTCCTTGCCCCAACCTCTAAATCTTGGTATTCCGCAGGACTAGCCCTCGGCCCTCTTCTCTTTGACACTCACCCCCAGATGATTGCATGATTTCACGTAGCATCTATATGAAGATGACTCTCAAAAACCTATCTCCACCCCCAGTCTCCCCTGAACTCCAGACCTGTACCTCCACCTGCCTACTGTATATCTCCTCCTGGGTGTAGGGTGGGCATCTACAAAGATACTGAAATGGATCTAATTTTAGTCTCGGCATCTCTTTAGGTGATAGAGGCTATGTTCCTAAGTGAAGAATGAAGTAGTGGCAGTTCCATCAGATACTCAGAGCCAGAGACAGTCCTAAGCAAACAGCTGGAAAAGAAATCCGGCAAGAAATTCCGAGCAATAGGAATTTTCTCTGAAGATTACTTGGAAGTGCCCCATGAGAAAAACCATAGCTTCAAACCCCTGCCAAGCCCAGAGAAAGCCTTACACTAAAATAGATCGTCATAAAATTAATAGGTAAGAACTTTCCTGCCCACCCATTCATTACTTCTCTTTCCTCCCTCCCACTGTGGACTCTGCAGATATCAGAAATCACAGTGGCAAGAAAGAGGGGTAAGGAATAGGACAGTAAGAAGGGAAAGAGAGAAGACATCTACCTCCCTCTTCTTTCTTGCAGCTCCGGCTTCAGCAGCCCCAAACGGGGGGAGGGAGACCTTAAATGAAGATTGAAGCGTTGGTCATTATGTTATACGAGACTGGCCATGTTAGTTACTGAACAGACTGTCTTCATAACCAGAGGCTTTTTACTGTCTGAAAATGCCCAGGGCAGGGGAAGAACCAACCCCAACAGAACAGGTTTAAATGGACAGTGAGGGGAAGAGCTCAGTTGCTCTAAAATCACACCCTACAAATCCTCCTTCGGTATTGTAATGATTGCAATGGAATCAGCCCCAAACACGATTATTCCTCACTTCTGTACTTCTCTCCCTGCAAACCTGCTTTCCCCCTAGACCTCCGTAAGGGGTCAGTGACTACGACAATCCACCCAGGCCCCTCTGCACTGATTTCTCGCTTTCACCCACTTCCACACCGACAAACAAGCTCTGCCAGCTCCTCTCCACCCACACTGGAGCCTGGAGTCCTCGCTCTCACGTGGCCTGGAGCCCTCACTGCCTGACGGCCCTGCCTCGGCTCCAGCATCCACAGTTGTTCATGCAGCAGCCATGCTCTTCTTTGTACAATGCTGACTAGATATTATTTCCCCTGCTCCAAACCTCTGCACCGCTTCCCCTCACACTTTAAATTTTATTCTAACTCCCTGTCCCGGCCTGTAACCCCCACCTGCCTGGCTCCTGCCTCTGCTCCAGCCTCACCTCCCGCCCTCTCTCAGCACTCACTGTCTTCAGCCTCCCCACTTTTTCTGGCTGTTTCCTGAACACACAAGCTTCACTCCCATCTCAGGCTTTTGCCTGGGCCCATCCATCTGCACAACACTCTTCCCCCAGATCTCTCCACACCTCACTCCCTGGGTTCCTCAGGCTGCTGCACAAACGTCATCTCAGAGGAGAAGCCTCCTCAGACTTCTCCACCTAAAACAGTCCTCTTCGTTCATCCCCCACCCTCCCACCCCACCCCTCTACCTGCTTTGTTTTCCTTATTACTAACTCACATGATGTTATGTGTTTATTTGGTTGACTATTGTCTATTTCCCCACCAAAATGTAAGCTCCAGGAAATAGGAGCCGTCTCTGTTTTGTTTCCCACTGTGTCTCCAGCCCCTCAAACACTGCCTGGCTCAGAGTTGGCGCTTGTTAAAATTTTGAGGAAGCAAGCAAGCACATGAGAGGATACCAAAACATGGCAGTAAAAGGAGCTTAAACACACAAAAGAAAAGGTTAGTAAATTTTCATGAATGAGTAAAAGAGTAGCGCCCCTGTCCTTTAGGGATAGGAGTGGGGAAATAGAGAGACAGTCAGAAAGGAAGATGGCAAGATTGAAGGATACTCAGAAGACAGGCCATTCACGTGGGGAGGAAGGCCATGACTTCTCGCATACACTCCTAAGAAGCTGACTCTGGACAGGAGAACTGGAGGGAGAAGCTCCACCTAGACCCAGAAATGGTAGGTTGAGCTAGCTCAGTCAAATGGCCACTAAGTTTAACTATCATTACCTTAGGATAAGAAATCTATGCTCTGTAAACACCTATAAATAGATAGACAGATAGACAGATAGATAGATGTGTAAATATAGGTATGTATATCTATACATATGTAAATATATATGTTAAATATATATCTATATATATATAGATTTTTTTTTTTTTGAGATGGGAGTTTTGCTCTTGTTGCCTGAGCTGGAGTGCAATGGCATGATCTCAGCTCACCGCAATCTCCACCTCCTGGGTTCAACCGATTCTCCTACCTCAGCCTCCTGAGTAGCTGGGATTACAGGCGCCCTCCACCACGCCCGGCTAACTTTGTATTTTTAGTAGAGACAGGGTTTCTTGATATTGGTCAGGCTGGTCTCGAACTCCCAACCTCAGGTGATCTGCCCACCTCGGCCTCCCAAAGTGCTGGGATTGCAGGCGTGAGCCACCGCACATGGCCCAACATCTAGTATTTCCATAAACTTCACATTTTAAATGTTGGGGCTTTTTTCTTCATTTATTGCACATTCTGGGAGAGGAAGGAGTCATGCACCAGGGTATAAAATTGTGCTCTTCCATGGTCATTCACACAGAATCAAGAATCCAGGTTCTAAATGTCTTTAAGTTCAAAATTGAGATCAGGGTCAGAAGAGGTTGACAGCTGCTGCTAGGGGCTGGGGGCTGCAGGGACAACGGCAGACGACAGGCATGGAGCTGACCGTGGAGGGCCCCCATCTGGGACCTGAAGATCCTTCTTGGAGATCACATAGGGGACTAATGGCAGAGCCTCAGAGCAGACAGGGGCTGGCACTAGGAGTTGGAGGGACGATCACATTTGCACAGAGGACCTGAAAAGGCATTGTCCTTTTATCTGTATCCCAGAATCCTGTGTAGGGCCTCTCTGTAACGACAGGGCCAGGGTTGCTCCCTGGCCTTGAGTTGGCCTCATGAGGAGTCCAGTATGAGCCCTGCAAGCTTGTCAACTGGAGATATCGGCGCCAGCTCTTCTTTATGCCCCCCTGCTTGAGACACTAGGCAATTCCTCTCAATAATTCATGATTCTTCTTCTCAACTCTTCAAATGCAAGAAATTCCCATTCTTTTAGGAAACTCTGGATCTCCTGGTTACTCCAGGTTTTAATTAACTGGTCTGGTTCCTCAGTTTCATTTTCCTCCTTTACTTCCAAGCATTTCTAGTAATTTCAGTCTGAAGTCTCACTTTCTCCCTTATTCATGAGTTTTCTCCCGGGATCCTTTTCACCACTTACAGGGCCTACTCCAGGGTCCACAGAGAACAAGCCCTCGCTCGGCCCTAATGCAATCCAGGAGTCACGAGGTGCCGAATGAGAAAGCACGGGTGCTCCTCTCTGCTGCCGGCAATCTCTCAATATGGGGGCTTTCACTTCCCAAATTTTACTACTTTAATTTAGTATTGGTCCTTTTGAAAATTTTCTACCTATCTTGACTGCCTTAAGGTTAACAAAATGTGGGCCCTGGCTTGGCTATGCTAAGTGGTAGACGGTAGAGACAGGGTAGAGATGGCAGAACGAGAGAGGGGCTAGGGAAATCCTGGACAGCGTGGCCCACCCACCAGGGACACCCTCATCGTGTGGCTCCACCAGGGAGCAGGTGGCTCTCTCCATTCCCTCTGAATAAAGGACACCTGCCCCTCAGCTGCTTCTAACCTATTCCCCACTGCCTCCTCTCTTCCTGGAAGCCTGCCATACAAAGAAAGTTCCCAGGTACTCAGATTTTGGTATCAGCGGTTGCCGCCCTATGTATGATGAAATGGGACAGCCCCAGTTCTTACCCATTCTGGTCTTCCTCCCGTTCTGCCTCCTTCCTGGCTGAGGCTCAAGGAAGAAAAATACCCTTCAGAGTTGGCCTCTTTGGCACTTGGATTCTTTCCGTCTCGATAACACAGCGGTTCTCTTTCTAGAAAGGATGACCCTTTGTTTCTGCACGAAGGAACCAGAAAGGAAGGGATTCTCTTAACTCTCAACTGTAGCACTTAATATTTTTATTTAAATTTGAAGGTGATGAGTTCTATGCGAATTTATGTATTTTTGTGAAAATAAATGTATTTACATGTTTTTTATGTGAAAATAAATCCAAATAAATAGTATTGCCTTGCTCTAGTCACCGTTTCATCTGTAATCTCTGTGCTGCTTCATCAGACAGCTTTGGGTCCTTTGGCGGGAAGGATCCCTCACAGAGCTGTCCAGTTTGCCCTCCCTGAGAAGGTCTAACTCTGCCAAAGACAAATGTGCCTTCTCCATCCCTGCTGCCAGAACTGGGATGCTTCCCTTTTCATGGAAGAGAATCCAGTCTTCCTCCGCCTTCTAGAGTGAGCCTAGACTTAAGCCTCTAGTCTAAAATATAGGACCCCACTACTCCAGCAACGCAATATCCTCCTTCACGTGTGGGTCTCGCTCTGCTAGAAGATGTATTTGAGAACAAAATCTCTCCTTTTATATCATTTATCAAAATTAAATAGAATTAAGATGACATTTATCCTAAAGTCTTACCCAAACAGGTCTATTTGAGACTCTGGCAATTAGGGATCGCAGAGGAACTTACTCTTTTGGACCCTAATATGCAAGAGTGATTCTCAATTCTATCTTTTCAATCAATCATTGTATCTTTTAAGGCCTTCAGCTACCAAGCAAATAGGGCTTAGTTTGGACACTTCCTTTTTCCCCTCAATTGTGGCTCCTATTCAAAAGGCAACCCAGCAAATGGTTAAACCACACCTCAAGGACAGTAAGCCCATGTTGGCCAGCGCCCTCCCCAGCTGTCATCTGTTTCTACTTTACATCACTAAGGTCCTCGGGAGACAATCAGTCGTTCTCTCTGCTGGTCATACCAGCATCTCTAAAAGCCCTCCAGCTTCTGCCACACTGTATTTATTCAACAAATTCTGAGCCTGTTCAGGAAAAGAAACCACTGCAGCTTACTTTGGGCACTTTTTTAGGAACAGAGAATTGTAAGCTCATCTCCTAGAAAGTCACATAAGCTCACTTTTCTTCCACCTTGCTAGTTTTTTTTTTTATTGTTATCAATTTTAATAAGGTATAATTTATATGACATTAAATTCACCCATTTTAAGTGTACAAGTCAATGGTTTTTAGTATAGTTACAGAGTTTTGCAACACCATTACAATCTTATTTTAGAACATTTTCATCAACCCCAAGGCTCCATGCTCATTAAGTCACTCTCCACTCCTATCCCCAGACCTAAGCAACTACTATCTGCCTTCTGTCTTTACAGATTTGCCTTTTCTGAACATTTTGTATTTAAAAACATACTATATGTAGCCTTTTGTTATTGGCTTCCTTCACTGAGTACAATGGTTTTGAAGTTTGTCTATGTTGCAGCATGTATCACTATTCCATTGTATGGATATACCACATCTTCTTTATCCATTCATCAGCTGATAGACATTTGGGTTGTTTCCACTTTTTTGTCTGTTGTGAATAATGCTGCTATGAACACCCACATCCTAGCCTCTATGTGGATATATGTTTCATTACTCCTGAGTAGAAACCTAGGAGCGGAATTGCTGGGTCACATAATAATTTAATGTTTAACATCTTGAGAAACTGCCAAGCTGCCTTCCAAAGTTGCTGCACCATTTTACATTCCCTCCAGCAATATCTGAGGGACAGCATGACTTTTAACCAGATAGTTACAAGTTACATAATTATGTAGAGAAATCTCTTAATTCTACAACTGTTAGCTGAGATGATTCCTCACATTATATACATGGTATTTGATAGTATGTACCACTTCTCTGATTATAACATCTATCACTCTGGGTAAGATATTGTAACAGCTACTACCCACCCAAACCAGTCCCAAACTCCATTTACACTACTCCAATTCAATTTTAAATCTCCTAACCTTTTAGCTTTAGTACAAGTTGTTAATTTTTTTTCCATTTCTGTGTTTGTTATTTATGTATTAGTGACTTGTTTTTGTTGTTGTTGTTTTTTGTTTGTTTTTGAGACAGTCTTGCTCTGTCGCCCAAGCTGGAGTGCAGTGGCACAATCTTGGCTCACTGCAACTTCTGCCTCCTGGGTTCAAACAATTCTCCTGCCTCAGCCTCCCAAGTAGCTGGGATTATAGGTGCCCACCACCATGCCTGGCTAATTTTTGTATTTTTAGTAAAGACGGGGTTTCACCATGTTGTCCAGGCTGGTCTCAAACTCCTAACCTCAGGTGATCCACCTGCCTCGGCCTTCCAAATTGCTGGGATTACAGGCATGAGCCACTGCACCCAGCCTACTTGCTCTTTAGGACCAGAAAAGCCTGGGAAGTGTTGCCACCTCACCATACACAGTGGTGGGAGATGCCCGGTGTCCTCCCACAATGGAGCCTGGTGTGTGCCTCAGCACTGTCTCAGCAACATGACAGGATGGCAGGGGATGACAGCACAGTCTAGCATCTTAGCAAAAGAAAAGCAAAGCTATGGAAGAACAGACTTACTTGTAAATAACTGTTTTTTCTTCTTCCTGTGATTCCAAAAGATAAGGAGCTCTTGCCAAGGGTTTCAAATCAAAACTACAGTCGTTAAAATTCACTTTCACTTTTAACCTTTAACAAGATAACAAGTGTGAGAAGGTTTTTTTGTTCTTTTTCAATATTGTTTTTTGAGACACGGTCCAGCCTCAACCTTCTGGGCTCAAGGGATCCCTCCCACTTCAGCCACCCTCCAAAGTAGCTGGAACTACAGGCATGCACCAACACGCCAAGGGATTTTTTATTTTTTGTAGAGATGGGGTCTCAACATGTTCCCCAGGCTCGTCTCAAACTCCTGGCCTCACGCGATCTTCCTGCCTCGGCCTCCCAAAGTGCTGAGATTATAGGCATGAGCCTCCACGCCTGGCGGTATGAGAATGTTCTGAAAACAATATTAGCTTACATTTATGTAGTAAGTATTATTATACACTGACTACTAAATATAGAGACAAAAACATCATTACTCCAAACTGGTATACATTCTTGGATGAAATTAGTTGTTTTAGAGTTTCTGAAACTATGATGGAGATTGATTTACTATTCACTGAGAACCAAGGATCAGGTAAGCAAAGTTTAAAGTACTCCCTATCCACTAAGAGCTTAAACTCCAAAGTAAAAACAAGCCACAGAAACTGTGTCATTTATAAGCATTATGTAAAATGTTTTTCCCTAGAGAGAATCCAAACATTCCACTTCCCAGTCCATTGCCATGGGGTGGCAGACAGGTACCTTAGAGTCCTCCAATCTTGCACCCATGCAAGGGTTGACTGGAACGGTGATATTGGCCCTGCACAGAACATACATTTTGCTGGCACAGAGAAGACATAGAATGTAGTATAGCAATGTGTGAAATGCTTCAAGAAGAAAAGAAAGCAATCACCAAGATAAGAAAGCAATAAGAGCCTATTGGGAATGAACAAGCATATTGGGGAAAAAAAGGAAATTTAAGAAATTAAAATCTTAATATCCAACACAGTGAAGAAAGAATTAGCAAGCTGGAAAATATATACAAAGAAATTGCCTAGGAAAATGAAAAATATAAAGGACATATTAAAAGATATTAAGATAATAAGGCGGCCTAATATATATCTAATCTGAGCCCAGAAACAGAATGTAAAGAACTAAGTAAAAGCAATATTTAAAATAATTGCTGTATATTTTCCTGAACTGATGATAAACATGAATACAGAGATCCAGGAAGCACAACATATACCAGTAGGTTAAATAAAAAGAAATCCAGCTGGGTGCAGTGGCTCACGCTTGCGATCCCAGCACTTTGGGAGGCTGAGATGGATAAACCCCTTGAATCCAGGAGTTTGAGACCAGCCTGGTCAACATGGTGAAACCTCATCTCTACTAAAAATACAAAAATTAGCCAGGTGTGGTGGCACATGCCTGTAGTCCCATCTACTTGGGGAGCTGAGGACGGGGGATCGCTTGAGCCCAGGAGGTCAAGGCTGCAGTGAGCCAAGATTGCACCACTGCACTCCAGTCTGGGTGACAAAATGAGACCCTGTCTCAAAAAAAAGAAAAAAGAGAAAAGAAAAAGAAACCCATACCCAGACACCAGCAGTGAGAATGCAGAACACCTAAAGACAAAGAGAAGATCTTAACAGCAGCCACAGAACAAGGACAAAAAAAATCAGAATGACAGCAGACTTCTCAAAAACAATAGAAGCCAAAACACAAGAGAACTATGTCTTTAAAACATTAAGCGAAATAAATGTCAACCTAGAATCGTGTGCTTGGCAAATTATCTTCAAAGGTAATCAAACACTGAATTGTAAAGGCCAAACTTTAGAACAAAGGAAAATGATCCCAGAAATTTGGTATAAAATGGAAAGAGAGGCCGGGCGCGGTGGCTCACGCCTGTAATGCCAGCACTTTGGGAGGCCGAGGCAGGTGGATCATGTGAGGTCAGGAGTTCAAGACCAGCCTGACCAACATGGAGAAACCCCATCTCTACTAAAAATACAAAATTAGCCAGGCATGGTGGCGCATGCCTGTAATACCAGCTACTCGGGAGGCTGAGGCAGGAGGATCGCTTGAACCCGGGAGGTGGAGGTTGCAGTGAGCCAAGATCGTACCATTGCACTCCAGCTTGGGCAAAAAGAGCGAAACTCTGTCTCAAAAAAAAAAAAAAAAAAAAAAAAAAAGGAAAGAGGGACGGGATGCATATGGATTCCTTTCTCTTTGTAGCTGTCTCCCATACCTATATCTGCTACAGAACTGTACCGAACCCCTATTGGTAACTTCAGATGGGATGTTTCCTCATGGATGTACCCAAACTAAAGGTCATTTATTAAATTAATAAAATTATAAAACAAAGCATTGAGTGATTTAAATCCCAAGAAACTGTTGTTCCTCCTTTTCTATTTTTATCCAAGTTTCTACCTTTGTCTGCTTTCTATTAGGCTAGGTTAAATGACCCTTCTTTGTGTGTCCATAATAGTATGTGCATATAACATTGTAATAGAATGATCTGCTTAAATATCTGTCTTCTCTATTAGATTGTGAATGCTTTAAAGGCAATTACAACTCAATACATGATTCTTTGATGGAATGAATTAATGTTATAGGATAAATTGCATGCACCCAAAAAAAATCTTCAAATCCTAATCCCTGGCATCTGTGAATTTCACCTTATTTGGAAATAGGGTCTTTACAGATGTTATCAGGTTAAAATGAGGTAATACTGAATTAGGGTGGTGGACCCTAACCCACTGACAGGTGTCCTTATCAGAAGAGGGGAATTTGGACACAGACACAGAGAGAAGACCATGTGAAGACAGAGACAGTCACTGCAGAAATAAGGCTATAACTGAAGCGTTTCACTTCTGTTTCACTCCTCTTGCCACAATCGTGACTGAGGCTCTTATTACCAAAAACGTGGATTCTTATTTTTATAAACCGAGGAACACCAAGGATTGCTGGAACCATCAGTAGCTAGGAAAGAGACAAGGAGCCTTCAGAGAGAGTGGCCCTGCCAGTACCTTGATGTTAGCCTTCCAGCCTCCAGGACTGTGGAGAATAGATTCCTGTCATTCCAAGTGCTCAGTTTGCAGTGTTTTGTTACGGCAAGCCCAGGAAACTAATACATACGACAACAATTCTCAAAACTTCGAGCTCCTCTCTGACTCTTAGTTCTCCCTGGCCCTCCAAATGTAGTCACCAAAATCTAGAATTCCCTTGTGTCATCCTATCGATCTCTGTTTCACTCCTCTTGCCACAATCGTGACTGAGGCTCTTATTACCAAAAATGTGGATTCTTATTTTTTAAAAAAACTCTTCAGTGATCTCCAACCTCCAGTCCTATCCTATATCCAAACTGTCACACACCTCACACGTCAGATTAAAGTTTCTAAATGCACCATCTCCAGCATCTCACCCCCCTCCTCAGCTATCCTCACTGACTCCCCATTCCCTACATGATAAACTCCCAACTCTTTAGCAGTATTGAATGTTCTTTGCAAAATGGCTACAACCTAGATTCACACACTTAATCAGTGACTTGTCATCCATTCATTCATTACACAGACAAGTAAACAGGTGCAAACTGTGTGATCGATGAAAAAGTACATGATGGGACAAAAGAGAGACTAATCTGTACAGCCTAGTGTAAGGAAGTGGTTTGGAACAACTTCAGAGAGGAAGTTTTAAAGTGGCATTTTAACAGAGTCTTGGAAACAATGTTTTCCCAAAAAAAAAAAAAAAGACGGTTCAGAGAGAAAGCCCAGCATGTGTGAAGAATAGCATTTATTCAGGTACTTTGTGGAAAACCTGGTATTGTTGGAGTATAGAGTAGAAGGGAGGGAAAAATCAGCCCAGTCTTGTATGTCATACCAAAGAGATCACATTTTAACTGAAGGACACAGGAATCACTAAAGAGATTAAGTCAGGCAGTAACATGACATGCCACATTTCACCCTGGTAGCACCATGCAACATAAGGGAAAGCATGGCACTGTGTTTTAGAATGTAGACTGTGGAGTCAGAGACCTTAGTTCAGTTTCTGAATCTACTGCCTTATGGCTATAAATAAGTGGTTTTCAATCTGGTATGTGTTGGAATCATCTGAAGATCTTGAAAAAAGACTGATGTCTAGGTCCCACGCTCAGAGATTCTGACTTCATTTGTCTAGGGCATGGCTTGGATATTGAAAATTTTTTTTTGTTTTTTTGAGACGGAGTCTCACTCTGTTGCCCAGGCTAGAGTGCAGTGGTGTGATCTCGGCTCACTGCAACTTCCGCCTCCCAGGTTCAAGCAATTCTCCTGCCCCAGACACCTGAGCAGCTGGGATTACAGGCATGCACCACCACGCCTGGCTATTTTTTGTATTTTTAGTAGAGATCAGGTATTCACCATGTTTGCCAAGCTGGTCTCAAACTCCTGACCTCAGGTGACCCAACCGCCTCAGCCTCCCAGAGTGCTGGGATTACAGACGTGAGCCACCATGCCCGGCCGGAATTTTTTTTTTAATTTTCCATGATATTCTGATATAAAGCCAAAGCTGAAAAATCCTGCTATAAAATTGACAAGGTCCTTAAGTCATCTGTGTAATAGTACCTACCAAATAAAGTTTCTATGAAGATGAAACAAAATTAGCACGTTAAGAAGTGTACAACTCATTCCATTCATCAGCACTTTAAAATGTTCTCCAAGATAGACCATATAATAGGCCACAAAACAAGTGTCAGAAAATTTAAGAAAATCAAAATTATATCAAGTACTCTCTCTGACCACAGTGGAATAAAATTGGAAATCAACTCCAAAAGGAATCCTCAAAACCATGCAAATACATGGAAATTAAATAACCTGATCCTGAGCAATCATTGGGTCAACAATGAAATCAAGGCGGAAATTTAAAAAGTCTTTGAGCTGAAGGATAATAGTGACACAACCTATCATAACCTCTGGGGTACAGCAAAAGTCGTGCTAAAAGGAAAGCCTACATCACAAAGTCTGAAAGAGCACAAACAGACAGTCTAAGGCCACACCTTACAGAACCTGAGAAACAAGAACCATCCAAACCCAAACCCAGCAGAAGAGAAATAACGAGATCAGAGCAGAACTAAA